ATTTCCTTTTCTTTGGGATGGTTTTTGTTACTGCTTCCTGTGCAATGTTACGAGCCTCTATCCAAAGTTCTTCAGGCACTCTGTCCACCAAATCTAGTTCCTTAAATCTGTTCTTCTACTGTGTATTCATAAAGGATTTGGTTTAGATTATACCTGACTTTTCTCACTCTTTTGTTGACTAAAGAGCTTTTCCCACTCTTTTGTTGACTATGAGGGCTACTCCATTCCTTCTATGGGATTTTTGCCCGCAATAGTAGCTCCTTCATGGATTGCTGCCTTGTCGTGGCAAAGGGGCTTGAGTAATTCAGACAAGCTACTTCCCTGTTGGCCGCTTTTTAACAAACCTCTGTACAGTAGTCTCATTTTTAACTGACCGTGTAAATTTTCAAATAGATCCACATCTAAACTTGAGCAGCTTGTCAAAACTGATTACATATATTCTATAAACAAATGTCAGAAATCTCTTCATGTTTTCTAAAAGGCAATAAAATGCATTCACAACTTTAAGCAGTACACTTGGGAGGTGTATTCTATACCTCTTTAAACTATGGAACAATCACAGACAACTGATTCAGTTAAGATTGCTCTTTCTAGAGGGATAACATACCTTCTGTGTACTGGGCTGAAATTACAGTGTGGTTTATCTGAGTATTCTTAAGAAACCTGGTTCAGTCAGACTGGATCTTCACTGGTTCACAGGCAGTTAAAAAGGAATACTACTTTCCAACATGCTGTATCTTTGTTCAGGCCGTATTAATGTAAAATTTCTCTATACTGAAGTTATAAGTTATACTGAACTTATTCCTCACAGGACAACTCAGTTGCCCTCAAGAGAACCCTGCTGTTACCATATAATCTTATATGTGAGGCAGCACATATTAATACAGTAGGTATAAGGTTAATGTCAGAAACTTCCTAAAGGTGGGTGGGTGGACCTTTATAAGTTATGGTTATTCACATTTATCCAGCTTGCCAACTCCTGCCACAAATGGTTGCTTCATTCTTCCACCTTGCAATTACATTGTGAATGATCAGAGGAGGTAATGGTAGCATTGGTATTGTGAGATACTGTATCACTTACGTAATTTGTATGCTAATGAATAAAGCCAAAAATATAGAGGCAAAAATTTTAAAAAAATAAGACTTATTCAATTATTATTTCACCCAGAAAGGAAGATGGGCAGTCCTAAAGTGTCAGAGTATAGAAATTTTATAAGCCTGAACCTGTATATGTGTTTCATTAATGAGCTGCCATTGTGCACAGATGTAAGAGTGCTGAATCACTCTGGACATGATGTAATGACTTGAAACCAGGAGAAGACCAGGTGCAAAGCATGAAGTCACCTACATTCTGATTGGACAAAATATGCCATGTATATGTATATAAGTGGACTGTGTGTTTGCTTCTTTCTCTTCCTCCACTATCACTTGCTGCCACGCATGCTGCCAGTTTGTATAAAGAGTTCCTGCTGTGCTGTTAAGATACCTGCCTGTATATAACTGTAAATAATTGTAAATACAACTGTCTTGCAACACAAGAACTGGTCAAGTGTCTTCAATAACTCTGCGTATTCTACTGTAGCCAAAACCCTAACATAAAGGTTTGCTTTACATTAACACCTCCCAAAAAAAGAAATGAGTTTTGTAGCAAGGAAACATTGACGAGTGAGACAGCTGAAGCCTCTCCTGTCTTATCTGAAGAAGCGGACTTGTCCATGAAAGCTCACATTAAAATACAGCAGTTAGTCCTTAAGGTGGCACAATTTTTTAAATTTGCTTTGCTTGTTTCTGCCTGACATATTTTTCAAGCACTCTTAAAGCTAGTTTTTGCACATCTGCCTCAAGATATCTTGTTCTAGGTAAAAATCACAAAAATACATCGTATAGCATCAATTCTGTAAGGCGTACTTAAATTTTAACCACATATTATTGTGAGCAAGAGGAAATAAATGAGAGTGAGCCATCCCCTCAAACCTCTGAGAAAAAGGAAAAAGATAGAGAAGTTAAGAAAGGAGAAATAACCGGATTACAAAGATGAAAGGGTTAAAGGCTGGAAAAGAGTGGGAGGAGTCAAGGGAAACAGGCCTAAAGGAGGTGGATGTGTTCCTAACATCAGAAGGAGGGAAAGGAATCAGGGGAGATGAAAAAGGTGGCAGTTCGGGAAGAGGAATGGATAGGAGGAGGAGCGGAACCAAGGGTGTTCCAAATACCACAGAAAGGGATAGATTGGGAGAAAGAAGATTGTGAAGAGACAGAGAGAAAGAGTGAACAAAACCCATTACTGAAGGATTAAGTCCTGAAGAATGGGCAGTTTTAGTATACCCGCAGGGGCGAGGTCCCTGGAAGAGGGTGACTCAGCCAGGACCACTTCAGCCACACGAGAAGGGAAAATGGGCATGTCACCCCTGTTGCAGGACAATCTTTATGATACAGAGTGGGTGCCCGAGAAGACCCACAGACCAGGAATGCTTCAGCCAGTCCTTCCGTTGGAGATACATATGAGAACACATTACCCCTGTTGTGTACTGATTTATCTGTTGATGTTGATTCTAATGATCCAGTTGAAGCTGTGATTGATAAACCTAATATTTGTGTTAATAAAGAATTGTTCAAAGAATCTCCTCTCCTGTTGTTTCCCACCCAAATCAGGGAACTGCCAAACACTTACAAAGAACCCGATCACAATTATCTTTAGATAATATGGAAATGGGGTTTTGTTTTTCCCCATTTTGGTATATTATACATAGGCAAGTATGGAAAAGAAAACTGATATGCCAAATATTTATTTAATACTTGGTTATCTGCATCCCAGTACAAATATCTTTGAAAGAAATGTTCCTAAATTCATCCACATCCAGTTTGTCCAGAAGAACACCATTTATTGGAAAAGTACAAAGAAAAAAAATAAAATTATGATTTATACAGACTGATATTTCATTTCATGCTTTATATGAATCCCTTTGCATGTTTAAATTCAAGTAATAGCTTAAAATCAACACAAAATAAATCCAGATAGCTCTATGTAACTAATGCCACAGTCGTTATAAAATCAGTGACTGTGCGTTAAGTTTGGCAAGCTAATGTCCTGCTGTTAAAAAATCAAGTAGGGCACATAGTGTTGCCTTAAGTTTAAGAAAATGATAGAACTAGAAACATTTTTTTAACATAATAGTCATTTTAGGGCCAAAATCCATTGCCTGTACTTCACAGTGATCAACTAAACATGGAACATGCAAATACTCCTGTATCTCTAACCAAGCCATCTAAAGAACACTATTGTAAACAAACACCATCAAAATCCAAGTGTTCTTTTTAATATTGTATTACAGTATTCCCTATTGTACCATATACTTCCACAGTTATTTGTCATTCAGTATCTAGGGGTGACACATCAATATAGCACAATATAGGTTTCACTTTTTTTTTCTGGAGTGTTAGGCAAATGCCTAAGAATAGTTTGAACACTGTGAATATCCCAAACCAGTACAGTATACCAATAAGACATATATGTAAACAGAATGTATGCTCAAAGCACCATTTACAAAATATTAAAACTGTTTTCGTCACATAGAATGCCCAGTTTGGTCATTCTATCATAGTAATCTTTTATATCAAAAGTATAACTCAACAGGAAAAAAAGCTCAGCATTTGCTCCCTATATTTCCTCAGTCACAGAAACATTGACAGAAAAAGAAAGTAAGGTGCATGAATGAAGGCCATTCATGAAAAGCTGCAATATTCTTACAGGCAGGAAACATTCATTAATATCTGATAACACACATACTCACACATGTTCATTTATCAATATCCATTCTTAACATACAGGTAAACATGCAGGGTTCATTTCAGATTACCAGGTATGCACATCAAGAATGTGGCACTGATGTCATGAAATGTTTTCTTATCTTTTTGCTCCTAGACAGCTTGAAATTCTGGGATTTGTGCCATAGCTCAGTAGTAGAGCACATGCTTTGCATGCAGAAAATCCCAGGTTTAATCCCAGACATCTCCAGTTGTGAGATACTGTAACTCAGGTAACAACTAGTTACAACACCTGTTTTAGACCTTGGTGAGCTGCTCCTAAATCAGAGACTGTACTGGATCAATGATCTGATTCAATGGCTGACGTCCACTAGTGGAACTTATAATGCATCAGCTACAGTGTTTGTTTTGGAAATTAAAAAATTCTAATCCCACCCCTGACAAAGGTCCTGAGGCTTCCTTGGGATCAGTTTCTACATAGAAAAGCTGTTGGCAGTTGCAGAACTGGGAGTGTGGGTGGGCAGGTGGGCTTTAATATCTTAAAATCACCATTGCCAGTAAAACTATACTGGAATACTGGTAATTTTAGTAGTATTTAGTTGTACTTTTAAAGATTTCCCCACCTTGTCCCACCAATATAAGGCAGCTTCATATTTTCATCCAGACAAATTTAATACTTATACAAATACTTGAACTAAGAGAGAATGTAAAACAAAGGATAAGTTATTGTAAAACAGAAAATAAATTAGGGTAAGTGTTCATCAATTATATCCCTACAATTTCTAATTTGAGTTATTTAACAAATTTCCAGGTGATCATTCAGTGTTTGTGGTGTTTGTGCTGGAATAGACCATGGAGTTCAGACTGCATAACATTCAGTACACAGAGTATACATAAATAATTTTGTTTCCTTCTCTTCTAAAAAAGGAAAAACCTAGCATTATCTTTATGGTTTAAAAATAGCTTTTAAGTAAAATCCAAGGTGGGGGTTGTCAGCCTGTGTATTTCTTACAATGCTAAAGACAACATGAAGCTCACCTGACTAAATTTAGAATTAAAGGGCCTTTTCTATTTTGTATAAAGTAATAATATTAAATTTTACCCGTTAAATGTTTTCATATTTGATAGGACAGAAAATACAAGTAACATTCTATTTACAGCTTAACTTGAACACTTTTCAATAGGAAGTGGCAAGTTATATTGATTTAATCTTAAACTGGTTATAATACAGAAGATATGTTTGGAGTACCCTGAAACATGTATTTGAGTCTATAGCTCAGTGAGTGAAGTACAGTATATTGCTGAGCGAGAGCTTGAGAGATCAGTTCCCCACTCTGCATCCCAGAAGAGTCTGTGTGATCTTGGGCAAGCTGCACAGTTCCAACTGCACCTTCCCCAGCTTGGTGCTCTCTAGATGTTTTCAACATTAACTGACTGAGAAGAAATGAATTATAAATCAATTTTGAGTATTTGCTACCTAGAACACTCAAAAAGGGTCACCATAATTCAGAATTGACCTGACAGCACGCAATTATCAATTATGAACTTTCTGGCATCATACAATCTTGATAGCTTATTTGCAAGGGACTTCAGTGTAACTGGGTATCAGTGATTGATCTTGCTCTGAAGAAACCAAGAGGAACACAGCATCACAACTAAACAGGGCTCTAGCCCCATAAACTGATCTGTCAATGTATCTCAAACTCACCCTGCACATCTGTGGGTTGGGAAGCACTAGATTAACGTTTTATGACACAGTGGTATTCCTTGATCACATGAAGCAACTCTACCAACCTGATTAGAACTAGTCATCATGTAGTTAAAAATAAAATCTTTAAGCAATAATATTTCATTTGTGTTATATGCAGATTTGTCTTTTTATTCTGAACTTCAGATCTGTAAAATTTTAGGGCTATATCCTGCTCTGTACACATCAGTGAAATGAACCCTACTTTTATATCATCCACTCATAATTAATACAAGATTTAGTGTTAACATAAAAATAAAAATAGGAATTTGTGTCATTTCTTTTCTTCTGCATTCACACAGTTTGTAACAGTTTCCAATGACATATTCATGGCTGCTTGAAGCATATCGTCTTCACTCATATCACCTCCTGGCAGAAAACAAAACAAAATAGCTGAGGGTCTAAAATGCAGCTCTGAAAAGCAGAAAATGGCTCACTTAAGATGATAAAAACTTTATAAACCATGAATTATGAAATCAGAAATGAGCAGTGGGACCAAGCTCTATTTCCCCTCCCTTTCCCTTATTGTGAGTTGCCTTTGGTGCAGAGATTATGGCTTGTATTAATCTTGCTTAAATGTTCTGTTAAGAAGCTAGAGAAAAAAACTAACAAAGCTTTTACCAATCATCTAAACTGATAGCATGTAGATGTTACTGAACACTTTATGCTTCTTACGTTTCTTTAGCATGTACCCAATAGGGTTTCAGTATTACTTCTAGAATAGGTAACACAACCTCCTCAAAACTGGTGCCCTTCAGATGTGGTCTCAAAAATACCTCATCATCCCCAACTGGCATTGGCTGGGGATGATGGGACTTGCTGTCTAGCACATAGAGACATAAACAGGAATCACTGAAGACAAAAGATAAGTTAGGTAAGTAAGAATTACATAAGATGGTTTCAGGAAGGCACTGCTGTACTCTGAATGGGTAAGAAAAACATATGCAGGGAACACACACTTCTCTTGGAGACAGAACAATATGAGGAGCAAGTGGACTATCATTTGTTTTCCACAACCGTAAACATTTATCAAATCAATTTACTGGTACTTAGATAGAAAAATCTTTGAACTGAAGCTGCTGATAGGAAGAGGCACACCTTCAGATATTATTCATGCTTTATGACTACACTTTAATGACACCTGTAGATCAATCTGGATACCATTTCCAAAGATTCATCTTCCCCAACCTGGTGCCCTCCAGATGTCTTCAACTGTAATTCCCATCATTCCCAGCCACTGGCAATGCTAGATGAGAGTGAAGGAACCTTTACTCCAAAACATCTGAAGACCATTAGTTTAGGAAATGCTGCTCTAGAGTGTTTCTTGACTGAATGACTGGAATGAGGGCTAGAAATAAGTACCACGGAGGTTGCACATAAAAGAAACAACTGTGGACAGAATAGCAGGTTACTATATTCATTTTAAAGTAGTACCTGGATCAGTGACCAGAGCATTTGAACTTGTAGCTGGTGCATTGTGCAATTCTGGATTCTGAACTTGTTGTCTAAAAGGATGAAATAGTGAAGAATAATTTGAAAAGGCATCCAAATACCCAGTTTAATTTTCATTACTATCATTCTTAGTGAATCAGAGATTCTTAGTGTCTAATTCCATCTTAGTGTTAGCTTGCTCACTTTTCAACACTAGAACAATTACTATGTTAAAATTAGAAACCTGTGAGTTAACAGTGTGGTTAGCTATAGCAGTGTGCTATTCATAGGTCACATCCATACATTGAAGGAGAGCTTTACAGACAGCATGAGCTGCCATAAGGACCACTAAGTGGGATCTAGGACAAATCAAGCTTGAATTCTCAGTGGAAGCTATAACCACTAAAATGAGACTATTGTATTACAGAGAGATTATGAGAAAACAAGACAAGACTCACTGGAAAAGCTTATAATACTAAGTTGAATACAAGGATTCTTCAGGAAAAGAGAAAGATCTATGATAAGATAGAACAACTCAATAAAGAAAGCCACATCCTTTAGTTTCAAGGCTTTCCTTAGTTGTCAGACAGCAGGACTGTTAATAACAGGAACGTTCAGTGATCATTAACTTGTAGGCTAGCCCTTAAGACAGAAGTGATTTGATGGCACATGATAATAGAGTCTGATATTAGTTAATGTGACATTCTGTTATTGAAAGGCTTCTAAGACTGTTTCCCACAAATTCTACTTTACATGGTCTATATTACTTGTCAAAATAAGCCTGTCTTCTTCGTCGCAGCTCTTCTGATGAAAGACATTCAGACTGGCTTGTAGTAGATGAGTTTGGAGTGTTCGATGTGCAAGAGTCTGAAAAGCCACTCCGAGGACCTCCTAAAATTAATATATGCACAAATATCATTACTGGGAAAGACTGAGTTAATTTAATTTATTTACAGTGGTGCCTTGCTTAACTATTTTAATTGATTCCAAAAAAATCATCGCTATGGGAAAACATCGCTAAGCGAAACACGGTTTCCCATTAAAATGCATTGAAAACCGGATAATCCATTCCAATAGGAACGAATTGCCATCCTTAAGCGAAAATTGCCATAGGAAACATCGCTAAGCGAAACGCGGTTCCCCAACTGAAATGCATTGAAACCTATTCAATGCATCTCAATGGGGGGCGAAAAATTCAACAACAAATTAAAAAAGAGTTGGAACAAAGTCAAATTAGTTTAACAAAGGGTTTATTAAGTGCACTTATGATTCCAAGCATTCTAAACATTTTAAAAACATTTTTAAACATTTTTAAACATTTTAAAAAACAGCCAACATGAGGCTGTCAAAACCATCGAAACAGGGGGACCCAAACTTTCATCGCTATGCGAAGCATGGTCCCAAACATCGCTATGCGAAAATCGCCCATAGGGAACATCGTTAAACAGAGCGCAAGATCGCTCTGAAGAAGTCATCGCTAAGCAAATTCATTGTTAAATGAAGCGCTCGTTAAGCGAGGCACCACTGTATTTACTATTTTCTACTAAAATAACCAAGGTAGTTTGGATTCAGATATATTTGGAATACCCAAATATGGCATTATTTGGTGAGTTATAAATATTTCTGAATCCAAATGCATAATGGAAAATAGGAAGAGAAACACAATTATACATATTGTGATGTCTGCTTCTGATTAGCTGTTTTCCTCGTGCCGTTATACATGTTTGTGCAAAGGACAGCTCACAGGGCAACTTGCTTTTGGAAACACCCTTGCATATGCACTATTTATTTATTTATTTATTTATTTGATTGATTGATTGATTGATTGATTGATTGATTGATTGATTGATTGATTGATTGATTGATTGATTGATTGATTGATTGATTTATATACCACCCATCTGGCAGCCAAGGCCACTCTAGCCAGTTTACAACAAGTAACAAAAAACAACAAAATAATTAATAGCAACATTAATACACAGGGGTGAAAATCAAAAATTATAAAGATTTCCCAGCAAGATTCTGGTCCCGTGTATCCTGCCTGTTGTATAGTGCCCTGAAATTGAATTCAATGAAATAAAAATGTTTTAAATAAAGTAACATTTTACCCTGCATACTAAGTTGAATGGCTCTACGGAGATCAGCTTCTTCATCTTCCATATCAATTTCCTGTCTGCTGAGTGCAAGAGCTTTTTGGAAATTTTCTTCATCTTCATCTAACATGCCAGTACCATCAAAAGGATGGTTAGCATCTACTACTTGTTCCAAATCTGGTTTTTGTACCCTTGAGATTAGAAAGGTAGAGAGGATCATTTCATTATAACATGAAATACAAAGACATTTTATTGTGTCTTAAGAAACCAAAAGAAAAACCTTTATACAAAATACTATTTTAAAATCTACATTATTATTTCAAAATTTCAAATAAAATTCTCAAAAGGCAATTTAAAAAGCAATAAGAATTTTAAAAAATTAAAATTCAGTTAATCATGAGACAGTTAATCATGCTATTTTGCACACAGAATGTTAAAGTCTGAATCCAGTTGGTAGACTCACTGGATCAACTGATTTAGTTACTCAACAAATGATCCAACAGGTATATTTTAGTTAGAGCTAATAAGTGGATTTATACCTAAGCATTTCTCTCATCTCAAGAATTTGGGGAAGTGAAAAGCCCTTTTCTCCAAGTTAGGTAGGACCGTCTCACCACTATTAAATTATCCTGCACCCTGACATACTGCATTAAGCAAACACAATGTTATGCAATGAATTTTCTTACAAATTACAAATAAAATAATTTATATCACCCAATGTGAAGAAAACACACTCAGCAGCACACAAACCAAACAAGAGAACACACAACTCACTAACAAATCAGAAAACATAAAAACCATTATCAAATATAAAAGGCATGAAGTTAGCATACACTGAGTGATAATTGTGTGTTACAATTTAGCATTTAATAGTCAGATTTCTATTGGTGTTTGCATAGGTTTTGTGCAACTTAACGCAACTAATTGTGGCTAACTGATGAGGTGCCAGGGCACATCTTGGTTGCATACCTGGTCATGCTCATGATTGTGCAACTAAGATGCCCGTCAGCAACTTGTCAACTAGCTACATCAAGTTACACTACCACTGAGAGGATTCAAGCCAAAATATCACACGGAATAATGCTTTAATATATCACCTATTGTATGCTCATTTACCTTCACACCTGCTGAGTTTCCATGTTTTATGCTTTATTAGAGGGTTGCATTATTCTGTCTTCTGGACTGCCTATTCTAGTATTTCTGCTTTGTTTGGTGTAACTTGGTACTTTGTGATTAACTGCCCAATATGTGTGAAGCTTTCCTGTTCTGGGGACCTGCAAATCAGAAAGGTAAAATTGCTAAACTATACCAATTTAAAATACAGAATAGGGTGGGGATGAATGTCATATTCAGAGGATTCAGTAAAGGTGCAAAAAGCAGAAACATCAGAAAAATCAGTGGGATCATGGATGGGCCCTGACAGTCCCTTTCACTTGGAACTCTTGTTATGTAAACAAGGGTTTCTGTACAAAATACTTTTGCTCTCTTCCCTTAATGCACTGTACAAACATAACACAAAACCTACTTCATATTTTATACATCTTCTATTGGTCTTGTACAGCTTTCATTTTACTAGTGTGATTTGCCATCCCAGCATCCCAGTGTGTGTGGAAACATTATTGACTACAGCCAAGCATATGGGAAGCAAGACAAACACACGTGGACTCTAAAATGGCAACAATGGGGGTTGAAAAGCACATCTTTAGTCCATACAAGGCAGTCAGGTAGACAAAAGAGAAGCAAAAGGATTGAAGACAGGAAGGTGTTCAAAATTGTTTTAAGTAGTTGTTCATTCCTACTTGTATTCATAATTCAAAAGTTGCTCGTAACAGACACTGACATTTATCATAATACAAATTTTTATTTACCTTACCTCTGATCTTTTGATTGCGGTGTCTCCTCTCCGATTAACTTTGGCCGCTGCATCTGCTGTACTCTAATCATTTGCAGCAGCTGATCAGCCTCACAATCTGGTAAATCACCCTTTACAACAAATATTGAATAACCTGAGGAAAGTAAGAGCACATGGCAAAAATATTGTCTTTCAGTAATTATGATGAATGTGAACAGGGTGAGAGGTGGTTATGGATACATAAGAAATTGTTTGTTTTCCCTACACTTAAGTAATGACAACTTAATTTCACTGGCTTGTTTGTAAATCTGAAGAGGATAACTTCTAGGAAATTAATGACTAGCTTTACTCTCTTGTTCTCAAGTTAGCAGTTAAATATCTGAAAGTTAACATTACCTTCCTGTTGTAACTGGGCCAGGAAAAGTGCAAGGTAAGTATCAGATATTAATTCTGGACCCGTCAAGAGAGAGTTCAAGTTGAACCACTGTAATTTCAAAAACAGATTTCAAAATAACACAGTTAATAAGGAATATAATCACTAATCTGTTTCTTTACATGACAAACCCCAATATGTTCTCTAAATAATTGATGTATGATATATATTATCACTTTAAGGCACAAAGCAAGTACACTTCTCCCTTGAATTGCATTGGTCTGAGCAGCATGGTTTTGGTTATATGTGTTTTTTTAAAAAAAATAAATAAACAAATATTTAAATAAATAAATATTCAATAAATAATTATTTAATACTGTTCCCCCCCTTCCCAAAAATAAGACAGGGTCTTATATTAATTTTTTGCTCCAAAGTGCAGTAGGGCTTATTATGGGGGGGATTTTTTTTTCATGTACAACAATCTACATTTATTTAAATACAGTCATATCATCTTCTGGTTGCTGCACAGTGGTGGAAGGCGGGGTTTCACTTAACTGGGGCTTATTTTGGGGGTAGGGCCTTTTCCCCCCCCCTTCCCGAAAATAAGACAGGGTCTTATATTATTTTTTTGCTCCAAAGTGCAGTAGGGCTTATTATGGGGGGGATTTTTTTTTCATGTACAACAATCTACATTTATTTAAATACAGTCATATCATCTTCTGGTTGCTGCACAGTGGTGGAAGGCGGGGTTTCACTTAACTGGGGCTTATTTTGGGGGTAGGGCTTATATTACGAGCATCCTGAAAAATCATACTAGGGCTTATTTTCAGATTAGGCCTTATTTTTGGGGAAACAGGGTAAATTGTTTCTGGCTACCAAGAACAAGGGGCATAAATTCAACACCAAAGGCATTAAAGTGGTCTACCTGCCTCCAAACACAATATTTTTAATTCAGCCTCTAGATAGGGGGTCATAAGGACCTTTAAGGCTCATTGCACACAGTACTGTATGGAGAAGATTGCCAATACTATGGAAGAGGATACCGATAGAGAAAACTTCTCTCTCTCCCTCCCTCTTTCTCTGTTTTAATTGTTTATGCTTTGTAGTTATGTTGTGGGAGGTGTAAAAGTTATGCACAGATTTTGAACTACATGGGGGTTTGGTGCCACTAACTCCAGTGCTATTGAAGGGAGAAGTGTAATCAAGTATTGGTTACTTTGTCCTATTTTACTAACTATGTGAAACAGCAGGATTTCTTTGCCCAACTAAAAAGCAAAGCGTGCTGCTTATATACCACCCCATATCGCTTCAAGCACTCAATGGGCGGTTTACAACTTTGTTATGCAGGCTACACATTGCAACTAAGCAACCTAAATAGTCAATATCTGAACAGATGTGATCCCGTGCTATTCAAGTAGTCTCTCAGGAGGTCAAACTTTCTGATCTTTTCAGTCATCCACAAAGTCTTTGAGGAAACTGAAGTGGAAGCTTTGGCTTTTAGTCTTTATGAAAAACACACAGGCTGAGATCAGAGGAAGACTCAAGCATGCATGGGAGAGAAATACCAAACTGCTAGATTTTAGTACAATAGGACCTCTGTATATGTGGGGGATTGGTTCCAAGCCACCCCTCAGATGCTGAAAACTACAGATAATAGTGAGTGCTATACATAGCATAGTAAAAAAAAAAAAAGTTAAAAGAAAAAAATCCAAAATTCATGATGTATTACCAGAACTCCCCACTAGAGGAAGTAAGAAGCCATGCTATGTGTTATTCAACAAGAAGAATGACGACCAGTTCTGATAAATACATTGTGAAAATACATATTTCTAGTTGTTTTTTCTTTTAATATTTTTTCAGACCACGCATAAGTGAAACCAAGATACTGATCCCACGGATACAAGGTTCCTACTTTACTGCTGTTTCCATTGCTAAGGAGATCAGCTGATTTAACAAGAGATGAACTGCTACACCAGGAAGAAGTCTGACTTCTCTCTAATACATTTTGGGAGCAGGGGTTGGTTGAAACTCTACTTTTCTGGGTAGACAATCCAAGCAGGAATCAGCTATAGAAGCCACTTTACCAAGTAATTTTCTGGCATGTAGACATGATGCCAAAACAATCCCAGTTTATGGCATAAAAAGATAGAGAAAACAGCATACAGTCAAAGTGTGAGAAGTTAAGCAAGGGATGGGGGCAAAAAACAAAGACAAGGAGCAGCAGTAATACTAAAGGCAGCAAAACTCAGGCTGCTGTTGATCACTGTCTCTCCACCTAATCTAATACATAGTGTTATTCTGGGGATAAAATAAAAATTGGGATGGTTGGCTCTGAGCTTCTTTTGAGGAAAAACAGATTATAAATATAATTAGCAATTAAACAGCTCATATCTAGGATTTCCAAAAATCTGACTCAGATAACCTAGTATCAACATCCCAGTGAGGATGAAGTGTCTGGACTTAAGGCTTTGTCATTTGTTTAAAACGGCTTCTAACATAAAGAATAATTAGCAAGATATAGCCATCATGCCACTTTTTTTCCTATTTTAACATTTTCTTTTTCCTTGCTAAAGTGGAATTACCTCCAAGGCTAGCTATTAACATCTTCCTATTATTTATTTCAATCAAACAGTGAAAGATGTTTAATTATACTCCTAAGCTTTCAAATACACAATCCAACATCTGGTCTCAAAGCCTTATGATACCTAAGTTTGAATCTGATTCTTAAGCAAGAAAATAGAGAGGATGTATCACCTGTTTTCCTAATTTTCGCACTGTAAACCAGTGTTCTTTATAGTTACAAATAAAAGATCTTTCATTTCTGAAAGAAGAAAAACACAAAGCAAAGTCATAATTAAACATTATTTCATATTTAAGGGATGGGTCTTTTGCTATCATTAAGAACAGCAATTTTTCTATTTTAAAAACAGCTTTGCAAAGCTAAAATCTAGATTATTTGGTAACTTGTTGTTTTGAGAGTTAAAAGCATTCTAATACCATTCTTCTGGAATTAAATTTACCAATATGTCTATTTACATACACAAACACACACACACATGTTGTAAAGCAAATGTGATGCCACATAACCACTGAAGGTCAGCATTCTGTGATGCCACAGATACTGAGATGTCATGAAGGCTCAGAGGATAAATGGATACGCGAAGCCACAACAATATGAAAAAGAAAATGCTGAGGGGATAAAAGTTGAACTTGAGACAGCAATTTTCAAAAGGAGCTCTTTGAGGGAAATGATAGGATTTTTCCTGTTTGTATTATCAATAATTTTGTTTACTAATGGAAGCAGGGAGCTAAAAAGAAAGTCTTACATAGGGTCGATCCCGAGCCTCTGATATTCTGGGCTGTTGAAGAGGATCAGTTCTAAACCCCAAACTTTCAAGGCATTGCTTATAACCTGTCGAAAAACAGCACTTTTAATGAGACGAACCAGCCAGTGATAAAAGTTAAGCAATGCAACCATTTTAGCCATTACAAAAACAAATATATTGTTTTCACAAAACAGGGACTCAAAAATATATCTAAGGTTCATGAAAACAAAACAATTGGGGTGAAAAAATTCAAAAGTCAACCTTCATGAATCTACATTCAGCAGACCACATGCATAACATATTTAAAGGTGAACAACAAATACACAGTTTGACCAAGATATTCCCCAAAGGCACGTAACTCCTGAATTGGTGTTAGAAGAAGCTGTAGAACTATTACTTCCTTTTACCTCAGAAAAGAAGACACTGCATAGCTGAGAGCCCTTTTTTACATTTGCTGGCAGCCTGAGGGCTACATCTCAAAGGCCATGTAGCTAAAGGGAAAGAAGATGGCCCAAATAATCATTATTGTATTTTAATTTTTATAATGCAGTGGTTATGCATGTTAGAAGTTGCAAAAGTGTGTTTTTTAAAACTGAAAATTGCCCTCTGTACCCTGTAATGGCCGTCTTTTTGTAAAATATATTTTTTAAAAAATTAAAAAGACATAGACTCCTCAAAACATGACTACCTTACTTATCCTATACGTTTAAACTGTATATCTGCAAACTAGTGTTATTTGCTTAATTCATTTAGAAACAGGACTACAAACTCTTTCAGCATAAGGTAAAGTTTTGACTTTCACCTTAAGAAACCACTAAATAATCATGCTGTAAGTAGGTGAAGATATTCACTCAAGTGATCTACCTTTCTGAAAATGGATGAGGCCTATGCACATTTTTTTAATCTCTAAGGTTTTCTGTAAATTTTTGGATGTATGTTGATCCTTCAGTTTAGTTTGTAACACATGGGTTAATGTTACATTTTCTAGTACAGTGGTGCCTCGCATTACGACGTTAATTCGTTCCAGCGAAATCGCTGTAGAACGAAAACGACGTAAAGTGATTTTAAAAAGCCCATAGAAACGCATTAAAACCCGATTAATGCGTTCCTATGGGCTGGAAACTCACCGTCCAGCGAAGATCCTCCATAGCGCGGCCATTTTCGCTGTCTGTGCAACGAGGAATCCGTCCCAGAACACAGTGGACGGCCATTTTGTTTACCTGGCGGCCATTTTGAAACCACGATCAGCTGTTAAAAAATCATCGCTTTGCAAGAATCGGTTCCCAAAGCAGGGAACCGATCATCACAAAGCGAAATTCCCCCATAGGGAACATCATTTTGCAATCGCTTTTGCGATCGCAAAAACATCGACGTCAAGCGGTTTCATCATTAAACGGAGCGCCCGTCTTGCAGGGCACCACTGTACTTCATTTACAGCTGTGTTAAGAGAAAAGATAACTGGGAAATTAGAGAGGCAGTCTCTAACTTCAGACATATGCTGTGTAGAAGACAGCAAAGTAGAATCTCAAATGAAAAGCTTCCAGTTCCAAGAATTTCTATTTTCTAGCAAAATACAGTATATCACAGAAGTGACTACACCCCTCACATTTCATAAAGATTTTAGTACAATGATGCCTCGCTAGATGAATGTCTTGCGGCACGAAAAACTCGCTAGACGAATGGGTCTGGCTAGGGTTTTTGTGCCTTGCAAGACTATCGTTCCTATGGCCGTTTTCCACAAGACGAATGTTGCAGTTTTATTTTTAATTTGTGTGTGTGTGTGTGTTTTGTCCAGCACCATTTTTGAAGATCGCGCCCTTTCCCCCTGCTTCAGTAAGGCTCCAAAAGGAAAAGGGGGGGAAGCCTTTTTCCGTTCAGAGCCTTACCGAAGGCAAGGGGAAAGGGCCCAATCTTCAAAAATGGTGCTGGGCTAGCTTCTAAAAGCGCCACTCACTGGCTTTGGGGGTCCCCTGGGGCTTACCTTGCACCATCACGGGGGTCTCTCCGTGTGGCGATGGGTGCTTGCAGAGGTTTGCCCAGCACCATTTTTGAAGTTCCCGCCCTTTCCCCGTCTTCGGCAAGCCTTGGAAGGTAAAAAAAAGAAAGAAAGCATTTTTACCTTCCGGTTGCGGGGCATCCCTGGCAGTGTTCCGATAGTGCAGAGAAAGCCATCGGAACACTGGCAGGGGTGCCCCACAACAGCGCACGCCAGCTTCAGAGCACTTCAGAGGGTTTTCCTGCACCATCTGAGGACTGGTGGGGGACTTCCAAAGCCAGCGATCGCAGCAAGGGGAACCTTCCCGCCAGTCCTCCAATGGTGCTTCCCCAGCTCCCTACCCGGTAAGTGACTTTTAAAAAAATTTCCCCATAGGAACACATTAATTAGATCTCAATGCTTTCCTATGGGAAAACGCGCCTCACAAGATGAATTTTTCGCAAGACGGCATTGACTGTTCCATATGGCACCTTATGGTAATTAACTATCCGAGGATATGAAAAAAAGAATTGTTGCTCTACATAAAGATGGGCTAGGCGAGTGGTCCCCAACCTTTTCCCAATTGCAGACTGGTTGGGGGTGGGGTCCCTGTGCGTGGGGGCATGGCACGGTTGTGTGGAGAAGTGGTGCGCTCATGTTTGACGCACTCATGCAGGGGCATGGCATGCTCGCTCATATGCGCAGGGCACTTGCTCGTGGGGGGCGCTCATGGGGAGCAGGACATCTGTGTCTGCGGCCCACTCCTGCCTAGGCCACGGACTGTTGCCAGGTCATGGACCAGAGGTTGGGGGGCCTTGGCCTAGACTATGAGAAGAGTGTCAAAACCCTGAAACTGAACAGCAGCACAGTGGCCAAGACTATACAGCGGTTTAACACAACAGGTTCCACTCAGAACAGGCCTCACCATAGTTGACCAAAGACGCTGAGTGCCTGTGCTCAGCATCATATTCAGAGGTTGGCTTTGCGAAATAAATGTATAAGTGCTGCAAAGGTTGAAGCAGGGGGGGGGGGGTCAGCCTGTCAGTGCTCAGACCATATGCTGCACACTGCATCAAAATGGTCTCCAGGGCTGTCATCCCAGAAGGAAGCCTCTTTTAAAGATGATGCACAAGAAAGCCCGCATAGTTTGTTGCAAACAAGCAGACTAAGGACATGGATTTCTAGAACCATGTCCTGTGGTCTGATTAGACAAAAATAAACTTATTTGGCTTAGATGGTGTCAAGCATGTGTGGCGGCAACCAGGTGAGGAGTACAAAGAAGTGTGTTGTGCCTACAGTCAAGCATGGTGGTGGGAGTGTCATGGTTTGGGGCTGCATTAGTGCTGCTGGCACTGGTGAGCTACAGTTCATTGAGGGAACCATGAATGCCAACATGTCCTGTGACATACTGAAGCAGAGCATGATCCCCTCCCTTTGGAGACTGGGCTGCAGAGCAGTATTCCAACATGATAACGACCCGAAACACACCTCCAAAACAACCACTGCCTTGCTAGAGAAGCTGAGGGTAAAGGTGATGGACTGGCCAGGCATGTCTTCAGACCTAAACCCTATTGAGCATCTATGGGGCATCCTGAAATGGAAGGTGGTGTGCAAGGTCTCTAACATGCACCAGCTGTGATGTCATCATGGAGGAGTGGAAGAGGACTCCAGTGGCAACCAGTGAAGCTCTGGTAAACTCTATGCCCAAGAGGGTTAAGGCAGTGCTGGAAAATAATGGTGGCCACACAAAATTGACACTTTGTGCCCAACTTGGACATTGTCACTTAGGGGTGTGCTCACTTTTGTTGCCAGTGGTTCAGACATTAATGGCTGTGTGTTGCGTTATTTTGAGGGGCCAGCACATTTACACTGTTATACAAGCTGTATACTCACTGCTTCACATTGTAGCCGTGTCATTTCTTCAGTGTTGTCACATGAAAAGATATACTAAAATATTTATAAAATGTGAGGGGGTGTACTCACTTATGTGATATACCATAGGTCTGCACTGCACAATAACTTGTTCCATTAATTGTACACTGACTGATGTTTCCTACAAAAGTTATTCATACACCATATATGTAGGGATCAGGAGAATTTGGCTCTAATTGTTTCTTGCAAGGTATGTGACACATTTTATATCTAAAGAAGAGCCTACAGTAAGAACCAAATAACTGCAACAGTATGATTCTTTCATAGTTCTAAAGGATCAGGCTCTAATGGGGTGCTCTAGCTCAGTGGTTCTTAACGTGG